GCAAAGTTACAGAGAAGAGACAAAGGTTGGAAGCTAGGGTGAGAGACTTTAACTGGTAGAATAGAGCGATCTCCAATCCAAGGTAAGGGTGGGGTTCTGACTATCTAATGGGTTGCATGATAAATTTTATATGGGAAATTGGGTAAGTGAAATTGATATGCCTTTGTATGTCGTCTCTGTTTTAAGAATTAGTTTTGTTTTACTGTGTTGAAATCGTTCATGAGTTGTCTGTATAATAAATTGTGGTATAATTGTGTTGCCATTGGAAATTAAAAGTTGTTATGGTTGTCGTAATATACCGTGTTGTGAAAATTGATGTTGCTGCAATGGTATAAATTGTTTTGTTATGATTCGAGTAATCGAAGGAAAATTTGAGTATTGAAATCAATTACATAGAATTATGCGTAAGAGAAAAACTAGAAATTGGAAAACTATACGGTGCCGAGGGACACACAGACTATGCCGAAAGACACAGAAAGCAAAAGTGTGTCGAGGGGGACACCATTTGTGCCGAGGGGAACACTAGAATATAAGGGTGTGCTGAGTGGCACACCATGTGCAGAGGGCCACCTTCAAATTTCTTATTGTGTTACTTAATTATTTTGTTTTATTAGTTTCGTAAGCATAATGTTTACACAATAAAATCAATTATTAGTAGCCTAGAGAATTAAAAGACTTTTATTAAGATAGTAGAACTGAGTGATTAATTTAGTAGAACCAGTACCTAAGCATATTTAGCAGAAAGTGAATGAGTTATCGAATATCCGTATATCAGTAATTATTTATAGCAGAGTTAATTAATGGAGTTGATATATGTATACAGCATAATTGGATAGCAGTGTAGTATTAAGTTATCAGAAAACTAATAAGGAATAATAGTATAAAGTAGAAATAATGAGACGTTTAGCCGGTAATTAATTAGTAGGATTTAGTTGATTTGTCTGAATAATTATACAGAACAATTATTGTATATTTTAGTCGATACAGTGTGTTGAATACTTGGCTAAAAAATATGAAATGCAAGTGGTATTGAATTGTTAGGCTTATGGTCAATGTTGAATTATGTTGAGTTGTTGTGATTATCCCTGTGAATTCTTGTTGGTAATGCGAATTTGTAGGGAATTTTAAATAATGATGAATTACCTTTATTTACTGGTAATAATGGTGATGTGAGCTTATGCCTTGCGATGGATGATGATTGTTGTGAGTATTTGATAGTGCACTCATTGAGTCATATACATTTGCATACTCTGTGATGGCCTGGATTGGCAAACTGCGAAGAAGGCTTATGCTTTATTGATGCCTCTATTTATTGGTAGATTTTTAAGTTAGGAGTTTTGCTCCAATGGTACCACATGCATGTGAATTGTAATTGAGTCACAGTTGATGTTGCATCTTGAGTTGTGGTGATGATATATTTGTAGTTGCTTTATGTTGTTGACTTGTTGTGACAAGTATTATCTAAAAGTTGTGAATTTAGTAGTGATGTCGTGTTGATGTTTTGTTGTGATTAAAGTTGTTTATAAGTTGTGAAGTGGTGATTTTATATGATCTAATCTAATATATTATTTATCATATAACTTATTATATTGTCTGATATCTCACCCCTTTTGTTTGAATGTTTCCCTCTGTTGGTAACGTGCAGGAAATCAAGAAAGATAGTTGTTACCTTCGTTAGTTCGAGTCAGTGTCGTTGCTCTGATACGTAGCACTCGGGAGGATGAACAGTTGATGTTTAGTTGTTGATATTTATTTCAGTTGCTGAATTTTTAGGTTGATTACATGAAATAATTGTTGTCTTGAAGTTGTTTTAGTTGAATAAGAGATGTTAAGTGAATTGAAGTTGAGTATGTATATTCCGCTACTTATCAATAAAATATTGTTTGATTTTAAAGAATAAATCAGATTGTTTTTTGTTCATCCAAATTAAGTGTTATGTATCTATTTTATATGCGATTAAATGAAGTTTGATTATAAGTTGTAAATGTAGCATCCTATTTATGTTGAACTATGATTTTATTATTATCCGCCGGGTAAAAATGGGGTGTTACAGAGAGTAAGAGATAGAACATTTCATTTTGTCAAATACTTGGTGTGCGTTCGACTTTTCATAATTTTTATTTGAGTTGTGTTGATATGAAAACAACTTATAATCAAAGTGTTTATAAGATAATCAACACACCACTTTAAACAAAACAATTCTAGAAAAATTCTTACGAGTCAATTGATTAAACAATATTATTCGACAAATTACATAATAAAGACAAAAGCGAGTAAAGAGATAATATAGAGCAAAACAAGGATTTGTTTACACAGTGCTCCACTTTCATGCTTGTGTGAGGGTACGTATGCGCTCAATTCCAATGTGGAATTAGGATACTTTCTTACTTTGCAAAAAGTATGATTACAAGAGAAGAGTTCAAGAACAACCTTATAAACCATAACTGTTTGATCTTGATATAACCCCTTCTCTTCTTTTGATCTTCGACAAGACCAAGACATAATAACTTCCAATTGATTATTTGGATCTTGCTACTCATTTGCGTACTTTATCTCCAAAGCTTTCGCGTACCATTAATTGCACCTATTTCAACACAAGACTTCAATTTAATTTGTCATTCTCGCACTACTTCATTTGCATTCTTTATCTCCAAAGAATCATTTGCGTTCTTTTTCTCCAAAGGCTTTCACTAGGCCGCAATCCTCTCTTGAACATCTTGCACGAAAACCCCCAAATCAATCAATGATCTTGGAGGACAAACCTGCAGTTTTTCTGGATGAAGACCCCTACAAATCTCAACCCAATATTCTCGGCTACACAAGAACTTACTTGGACGTTATCAAACCTCGTCTAGATGACACCCCAACAAAAGATTATTACGATGATTTGTTAGTGTGTATGCATAGGTTGGAGGTTGAAGGTGAAGAGCAATTGCAAGAGATTTTTACGGTGTGATTTAGTTAAAATGATGCATGAATTATGTATTTATAGTTGTGGAAGTTTAGAAGCAAAAAGGAGATTTTATGAATTAAAAATAATTGAAAATTTGACCCAGTCAAACAATATGTGTCGACCTGAAAATTGTATGTGTCAACACATTAGTCAAATTTTAACTGTACGTGTCGACCTGAAAAACGAATGTGTCGACCTAAGCAAGGCATTAACTTTTTGCTTTTAAAAATGCAATACATGTGTCGACTTGAAATTTATGTGTCGACACATAAAATAAGAATTTCTGCAATTTCTTAACAGCTTCATTATGTGTCGACCTGAAATACGTATGTGTCAACACATACAATAAAAATCTATGCGAAAAATGATTTTTCATGATTTGGATCAATTTTAAATTTATTTTGAATGCTTTCTAAGACCTCTAATGTAAGGGTGTATTAAACGACACAGAGATACCGTCTAATATACAGAAATGCTAAGTTTTTCTAGTTTTGACATCATCCAAAATATCTAATGGTGAAGTTGCACTCAAAAGTTATTTTCCAAACACACTCATATTTTTCAATTCGTTGTACTTTTTTGGAATGTGAAAAAAAAAGAACATTATCAATCCGAAACAACAAAAGATAATAATTGTGTCTAGAAAATAACTTTCAGACATTCTTCAAAATTTATTTTCTGTTGAGTGAAGACAAATAAGCAAATGAAGGTAATGCATATGTTGTTATCGAGTAAAAACACTTTTTAACTTGTATAGATTAAAAACAACAAAGTGTAATTACTATATTCGAAATATAACTTTTAGACATATTTATTTTCATAGTGTTCTGGACCGATCAGAGATTCAATAACGAGAAGGCTCTCAATCATCAATTCAAAGTCATTAGGTGTTAAAGGTACAATACACCTACTACTTTGAGATTCATACTTGATCCACATCAAAGATAGTTATTCACAGTTAAATATCATCTAATAGTTTCCCACATTCCACAGTAGAAAACATGAGAACCTCTAATTGCCTCTTATATATAAACTGATCCCAAATGAGATCAGAGGTACATTTTAACTATAATTTACTCTATTTTCTTATTGTTATCTCAGTAATTTAAATATTAGAATAGATATTATAATGCTAAAGTTGCAGGTTCCATCTCACTATCACTTTATTATTGAAAATGGATCATCTCCTATTTTTTCTCTTTAGTTTCTATCATGCTCTAAATCTAATAGTTTCTATCATGTCAAATATTTACTAAGCGGATTGATTATTTACTTAATGCAAAAAATCAAAGAAAAGGGAGAACTTGTTGTAAAGAGAGAGATAGGGTGCAATGAAAGGTGGGTCGCACGTTAATTGATTATGAAAAAAGGGTGGTGGTCACACACACTCACTTTCAAGTCACAAAGTGCACACTCACATACAACACTACTCTCTCCTCATTTGCCATTCCACCTCCCTCTCTCTCACACACAACAAATCACAATCATTATTCTCTATCGCCACTTTTACTCTTTCTTACCAATCCATCAAATTTTACAGCATGCTCTATCACACTAATTTCCTAATTAAAACATATAGAAAATCAAATATATCTTGCCACATTATTCATGAGCCACATATATCTTACCAAATCACTTGTATATTTTTAAAACTCTTAAACATACTCCTTAATCAATCAACTCCTAAAATTAACTCAACCTTTTATGTTCTTTTTACTATAGTGACATGAAAAACATTAACAACATCTTAGAAATTTGGTTATCTTGTGTCCTTTTGTGGTAACTACTCAAAAAACACACTTTTTTCTTGGAGGAGCCAACAACCTCGTCGTTTTCTTTCTTCTTGTTCTCTTCTTACTCACTCTCTGTCTTTCACTCTCTTCAACACAACACCAATAATAATAATATTAACTATAAATCTTTCAACTTTTTGCACAACCTCATTTAAAACTCTTTCTCTCAAAACTTGTTTTTTTTTTTTTTATATCATTGGATTGCATTGGCTTATGAAAAAGTGGAACAACAACAACAACAAAAACAACAACAAATGAATGCTAGAGCACGCTCAACTCTTCACTCAATCAAATCTTCTTTCAATGATGCCAAAGTAACTAAATTCTCACTCTCCTTCTTCAACACTACTCTTTTTTTTTTTCAATAAAAATTCAATTTTTAAAATTTTTTTATCTTCTAATTCCTTCATTTGTTGTTGGAATCAAGAAATGAAAGTAGTTTTGATTACCCTTTTAAAGATAAGATTTGAAAAACTCAATTTTGGAATAATTGAAAAAGAAAAAAAAAAGCTTAATTTCAAAGCATAAAGAAAAAAGAGCTACTTTAAAGCATGGAATTTTACTTCAAATTTTGAAATAATTGTTTGTAATTATGAAGCCTCATGGTTAACTGACAAAAGGGTGTGTTGTGTTTTACACTTTTGATCCAAATCTAAATTCTTGTTCTTTAACTTGTCTCAAGAAAAGAATAATTTATATTAATATTGCTTATTCTTATAGTACTTTTTGGTTTCTTTTGCTTTGAAAGAAATTTCAAAGTTTTGTGTTTTATGGATTTGTTTAATGTTGAGTGTGCAAAGCAGGAGAAGAAGATGGAGGTTGGAGGAAGCAAAGGAATGAAAAATGGTCGTCGATCTAATCGAGAAAAGAAGATTGCATTGCTACAAGATGTATTGTGATTCTTCACTCATTTGAATGAGAAAACTTTTATGTTATTGTATGTTTGATCTTCATGCAAAGTAGTGATGTTTTTGAAGCTTGTTTTCAGGTAGATAAGTTGAAGAGGAAGCTTAGACATGAAGAGAATGTTCATAGAGCTTTGGAAAGAGCATTTACAAGACCTTTGGGATCTTTGCCTCGTCTTCCTCCTTATCTTCCTCCATATGTAAGTCTTTCTTTACAAATCTAAGAATAATCGCAGCGAGTTTGACGAAATCACGATGACACTGGCGTGTATGAATTATAGTATTGGTAAATTTTGTTTTTAAGTTGTTTTTGGATTCAATGAGAGTAATGTGAATTGTGTGTAGGGTCGTCTTTGAGGGCAGACTATTGCACAGGCAACAAAATTTCACTGTTAAACTATGGTTAAATAGAGTCTCATAAAATGTTGTCACGTTAAATCATGATTTAATAGAATCTCTATTTGTTTTGTCATAGTTAAACTGCAGATAACTTATATAGGGGATCCAAAAATTTGAGACGGACTCTGACTGTGTGTGTGATTGTTTTAGACATTGGAGCTTCTTGCTGAGGTAGCAGTGTTGGAGGAAGAAGTTGTAAGGCTTGAAGAACAAGTTGTGAATTTCAGGCAAGGTTTATATCAAGAAGCTGTGTACATTTCATCTAAAAGAAATGCGGAAAATTTGAATGATTCTATTGATCAAAACCACATGAGAAATAGTAGTTCAAAGCATCAAAGATCGAAATCTTATTCGCAAAATGAGTTTAATTCAATGACAACAACAAAGGTGACACCACAGAATTCTCTTGCCAGAAGTGCTTCTAGCAGGAAGCTATTATTCTCTCCTGACAGTGTCAATAATCGCAGTGGGGGGAGTAGTAATGGGAAGCAATTGCACAGAAAACAAGATTCATTCTCATCTATCCAAGAAGAGGGAAGAGGAAAAGAGAATCTATTGTTTGGTAACTTTCTGAAAGATAAACAGTCTCCGGTGAAGAAAATATCGAAACTCATTACTCCATTAAAGAAATCTCCACATAAACATGAATCACCTCAGAAGAACTCCGTGGATCACTTCAAATTGCAGGTAATTCAATACTCCTGATATGAATCTGAGGGTTGGTCTGTTAGCGAAGGTTTCTGATCGGAGAGTGTGCTCTTTTTAAGGTCTCATATTCGAATCCCGCTAGATGAAAACAATTTCTATGTTGGACCAGTCCATACAGAGGTTTGGTCTGGCTTTAAAGGGGACCTCCGCAAGTGGACCGTGGGATTGGTCTCCCTCGGATTCTTCTGTATTTTCAACAATATGTTGTTTAATCTTTTTCTTCTTTTGGTTTCCTAGCTGGATTGGAGATTATCAGAACATGAAAGAGCTTCATCAAATTCGCCAACAAATAATAAAGTGTCAAAAGTTGATAGCACACCGAATAGAGTTTCGGAGGATCTTGTCAAGTGTTTGTCTAACATATTTGTGAGAATTAGTACATCCAAGGACAAATTTGTGGAACCAAAAACTCCTTCAACCTCTGGATCATCTTTCAACCAATACAGCAAGGAAAACGATCAGTTTTGTGATCCCTATGATATCTGCTCAGAATCCATAACAACAGAAGTTGGTCCATATAAGAGTTTATGTGAAGTTAAAGCCTCTACCGTTGATCTCAACAAAACAACAAATGCGATGTTTCTTATCCACAGATTGAAGTGAGTTATAGATGCTTATTCACATACGAAACACTGATACAGACACCTGACACTAATGATAATTTGACTAAATGAATGTAACCACGTGTCTGTGTCAGATATTGGCGCCTTCAATCTGAAGAGTCGTTACTATAGATATAAATATTTAATCTTGATGACAAAATTCAGGTTTCTTCTTGGGAAACTCGCCTCGGTGAACTTGAAGGGCCTTAACCATCAAGAAAAACTTGCATTCTGGATAAACACATACAATTCATCTATTCTGAATGTAAGACACTTTTCTACTACACTTATTTATTACACCTCGTTACAATTCGAGATTAAGAATTTGGTCTATTACTTCTACATTTGAATTTGATGAAAATAGTGTTTTAAAAACCAAACCGGTGAAATCTCTAGACCATAGTTCAACTGCCTTAAACTGTTCAAACATGGACAAAACTACTATTGAACCACTAAATTAACCGAACGGTAATAAAGCAAAGTTCAAAGTTCTATCGATTGAATCGTCTAGTTCGGTTTTTAAAACTTTTTAATGAAATCTTAGCTTGCCTAATATTCTTGGACTCAACATCTTAAAATATTTTGGTTTCATATTGTAGGCATACTTAGAACATGGCATACCCGGAAGTCCTGAAATGGTTGTAGCACTAATGCAAAAGGTAGGATGATCTAATCAACATTCAAGGCAGTAAAATATCGCCGATTCTTCTCATCCGAATAGATATTTAATCTCTTCCTATAATGTCTATTGCAGGCAACAATAGTAGTAGGGGGACAGTTGCTGAATGCAATCACAATAGAACATTTCATCTTGAGACTACCTTATCACCTTAAATTTGTAAGTGCTACAATCTTTAGACTACTTTGTTGTCGTGTTTTATCGATAGTGTCCTTAATTTTCATCTTAACTTCCTTAAACAGACATGTCCAAAAGCTGCAAAAAATGATGAAGTGAAAGCAAGAAGCATATTTGGATTGGAATGGTCAGAGCCCTTAGTAACATTTGCACTTTCATGCGGAAGCTGGTCTTCACCTGCAGTATGTTTCGAATACTCACTTTTTTCTTACTTTCTTGGATCAGTGACAACGATAAGTTTTAGCATTATAAATGTTACTGTCGTTGTCGATAACCAAACTCTGCCAAAAGTTTAGGCTGTTAGGCAAATGAATGGTTTCTATACCTAACAAAAAATCATATTGTTTCTGCATATTTTATTTCATTGACGGAACATTTTTGTTTTGTTTGAATGAAGGTGAGGGTGTATACAGCATCAGAAGTTGAAAATGAGTTAGGAGCAGCAAAAAGAGATTATTTACAAGCATCTATTGGAATCACAAAATCAAACAAGATAATAATTCCAAAGTTGTTGGATTGGTATTTACTAGATTTCGCCAAGGATCTTGATTCTTTATTGGACTGGATTTGTCTCCAATTACCAGATGAAATAAGAAACCAAGCAGTTAAATGCCTTGAAGGACAAGAAAGAGAGTCTCTTTCAAAGATGGTACAAATGAAGCCTTATGATTTTACTTTCAGGTTGCTTTTACACACCAATGAATAAGGCCATTGGTGTGGTGGGTATTTTTTTTTTTTTTGATGTATTGGATAATTCACATAGAAAATATAAAAGCCGAAACATGTAATAATGTATTAAGGAGTGAAGCGTACTTTCGGACGAAAAAACTCGTCTGAAAATATACTTTTAGACAGTAAAATTCTCATTTGGGAATTGGTTTTGATCTTTTTGGTATGGTGATTGTTTATATAATTTATATAGATATTGACTTTACCACCACAACAATTGTTCTCCTACTAAGGTGATTGTTATCCATAGCTCTGGATGACAATCTCGGAAAGCAAGAACTTATTCTTGTTTCTCACTGCAGTCTGTGGCCACAACTATGAAACTTCTCAGCATCCATTCCTTTAATGCTCTTATATTTCTCAATGTTGGAACTAGTTTTCTTTTATCCTTGGCATGACACCTAACACCACCTTTAATAGGTTATTCGGCATCAACAATGGTGGAGCTCCCAATTCAAACACCTTGTAGTATCAAACATAGTCTTTATTTTATGGAATACTTGGATGACTAGGTCCCTGACTTTAATAGTGATATTAAACTCCTCAAAAGAATAATTCATTAAGATACTAGCCATTCTAAAGGCCACATGAACTCTTCTATCTATCAAGCATTGATTTTTGGTTTTGTTTGGGATTTTGAAGGCGAATAGAGGGAAAGACATTGAAAATAAAGGGAATGATTGAGTGAAAAGAATAGAAGGATTTAAGCGGAAATTTTTTTGAAGGATTTATTTTTTATTCAAAATCTAAAATCCCCTAATTTAAGGTGTTAAAATAAGAGAGAGCGGGAGACATTTAAATAAAATGTGTGTTTGAATAGCACTATAGAAATTGTATTACATAATGATATTCACAATTTATTGAATTAATCACATAAAATATATGTTACGGTATATTCTATTATATTCTAAATAGGCTAAGAAATATTTTATGGAATATTCTATATACAAATATTGATTCTTAACACTCCTCCTCAAACTTGATCATATATGTCATATGAGTCGAGTTTGTTACAAATGTAATTCATTCGAGAATCCCTAAGAGACATAGTGAACATATCAGCCAATTGGTTTTCAAATTTGACAAACTCTACGGTGATTTCTTCTGAAAGTATCTTATCTCTTACATAATAACAATCTATTTATATGTGTTTGGTGCGTTCATGGAAAACCAGATTAGATGTAATATGGAGTGCCACTTGATTGTCGTTTATGAGTTGTGTGGTCTGAAGATCTCCCAAACTAAACTCTGGGAGTAAATTTTTAAGCAATGCAAGCTCTTTTGAGGATGCTACTATAGCACGATATTCAGCTTCAGCACTAGATAGTGCAACTGTATTTTATTTCTAACTTCGCCACGAGATCTTATCACCTCTAATAAGAGTACAATATCCAGAAGCGGGTTTCCTTCAATTCTCCAGGACAAGTTTATGATTGCTAGGAACAGTAAAACCTGAAGGTTGATCCATATAAACTTCCTCCTTCAATTCTCCATGTAAAAAGGACTTTTTAATGTCCAACTGATGAAGTGGCCAATAATGAATGGAAGTCATTGCTAGAAAAAGGCAGATTGAACTGATCTTGGCCACCGGAGAAAAACTATCACCATAATCAAGACCAAATGTATATGTGTATCCTTTGGCTATCAAACAGGCTTTGAAACGATTAATCTTACCATCTGGTCCAACTTTCACTGTATAAATCCATCGACATCCCACTGTAATTTTTTCCATAGGTAAAGTAATAACATCTCAAGTGTTATTTGAATGTAATGCAATCATTTCTTCCATCATCGTCTGACGTCAATTGGGATCAATCATAGCTTCACCTGTATACTTAAGAATGGACACAGAATCCAAAGCATAAACAAAAGAAACGTAGGAAGTAGAGAGACGATCATAATTTAAAACACAAACATGTTTAGGATTAGGATGATGAGACCGAATACTTTTTTGTAATGTTATTAGAAGGTCAAGTTCAGGTGACAGTGGTGATATTTTCTAGAGATTAGCCAGATTTAAAGATTCGACTATATTTTAATCTTTAATAATGTATGTTTATGTTATAGAATATCAAAATTAGTCTTTCATTAAAAAAACGAATATAAAAAAAATTGTAATATGTTAGAAAATGATTTTTTAAAATACATTTTAAAAAATACTAAGAATCTATTTTTTAAAACAGAAACAAACTGACCCTTAGTGTTGCTACTTATTATGGAAGTCATTACTCACATTTGGCTTGAATATGACTCATCCCATATCGTCCAAGCTTTTATAAACTTTGTTGTTGTCCTATGGAAATTCAATATCAAATAGTAGAATAATTGTCTTAATATTGTTAAAACTTTAGGTCGAAAGTTTCTCACATATATCGAGAAAGAATGTGTGTGGATTGTTTGACAAATACATTTTATTTTGTAGATGGTTAAATTTGGTGGAATTGTTGGAATTCAAGTGTAAGTGGTTAAGTTTCATATCGACGAGAAATGTAGAAAATATCGGGTTTATAATAGAGGTGACTCACATCTCTATTGATTTAAAGTTTTGTGTGGATGTGTGGTATCAATGTCTCTTGGATCTATAAACATTTAGCTCATTGACATTTCTGGCATGCGCTCCTCAGACTCCTTGACAAGTGGTATCAGAGTCTGGTTAGACTCAGTGGGGGAGCGGAAGTAGATCAAGAGTAGTGATGTGGATGACTATGTAGGTGACTCGCATTTGTGGTGGAGATTGTTGGGTTTCAAATGTAAGTGGTTAAAGTCCCATATCAACTAGAAATGGAAGAAATGTTGAATATATAAGAGAAATGACTCATACCTATAATACCTTAAGATTTTAGATGTATATGTAGAGTCGAGATTTCTTGAATTCTAAACGTTTAACTCATTAACACTTTCGAAGGTTTGCTCCCCGGAATTCACAACAAAAGCTTTGCTCTATAGAATTCTCAATAAATGGTATCAGAGTCATGGTTAAGCTCGGTGAGGGAGTGAAAGTGAAATCTTAGTGTTAAAGTCATAGTTAGACTTGGTGGGGGAGAGGAAGTAGAATCCTAGTATGGATCTAGACTAATGATGTGGGTGAATCACACTTATAAAGAGATTGTTAAAATTTAAGTGTGAATGGTTAAATTGCACATACCTCCATTGTTGAAATTGGTGACAAGGTATTTTAAATTCTAAACATTTACATATTGATACTTCCAATGCTCTTCAAACTCCCCTGTAAATTTTTTAATATATATATATATATATATATATATATATATATATATATATATATATATATATATATATATATATATATATATATATATATATATATATATATATATATATATATATATATATATATATATATATATATATATATATATATATATATATATATATATATACTCTTCTTCCTTAAATCACAAAATATTTTTCTCTTTCTTCCTTCTTTCTGTTCATATAATTAGGAAACTAACAAATCCTTATGGAATGAAAGTATAATAGAATACACTATAGCCTAGTTGATGTGACATCACATTTGTCATTAAGTAGTTTTTTTTTATCAATTGAAAAAAATGAAAATAATGAAAAGTTAAATTCTTAAGAATTGAATTTTTATAGAGTATGTTTAACAAATATAAATTAAAGGAGAGAAATAAATAGAAAATACTCTCAGCTCATGAATAAGTGGAACTCTCAATTTAGCATGTCAATCACCACTAATATTTCTTTCGTGAAAGGTGTGAATAATAACAAACTACCACTTTTTATGAATAAGAGATTTGATATAATTTACTAGAGGCGCATAAAGATAAGTAGAAGGCACATCCTATCGAATAAAATTTTGAGTCAGATTCTCAAATCACATTTTTGAAACTATTATTTCACGCTGTTGTACCCCAAAATTTGCCCTCTCATTTCTTAAGATTTTTCTCACAAAATTTCTGCTGGTCAAGATTACACAAGTTTCCATGGATCATATTGGGCTCTCAAGCATCCAATCAAAGAAGAGCAAGTTTACTTTGATTCATAAGCTTCGATTGGGTATTTGGTCCCCTTCGATCAAGCTTTAGTCCACAAGCTTCGATTGGGTATTTGGTCCTCTTCGATCAAGCTTTAGTCCACAAGTTCGATTGGGCATTAGGTCCCCTTCGAGCAAGATTTGGTCCACAAGCTTCGACTGGGCAATGTCTCCCTTTGAAACTGGTTTGCTTTGATTCAAAGTAGTGGCCTGCTTTGATTCACAAAGCAGTGGTCTCCTACTGGCCTACTTTGATTCACAAAGCAGTGGCCTCCTGCATGCAAGCTTCGATTGAGCATTAGCCTCTTATATGCTTGCTTCACAAAGCAGTGGCCTCCTGCATGCAAGCTTCGATTGAGCATTGGCCTCTTACATGCTTGCTTTGATTCACAAAGCAATGGCTATCTTCACACAAGTTTCGTTTTCACAATGGCTATCTTCATAAAAGTTTCGTTTTCACAATGGGTATCTTCATACAAGCTTCGATGGGGCAATGTTTTCCTTTGAAGCAACCTGTTTCGATTCACAAGGAAAGTACTTCATTCATGCATGCCTTCGATTCACAAGGCAAGTACATCCTTCAGGTTTGTTTTCGATTCACTAGGAAAATACGTCCTTCATGCTTGCCTTCGATTCACAAGGCAAGTACTTCCTTCGTGCCTGCTTTGATCCACAAGGCAAGTGCCTCCTCTGTGCTTGCTTTAGACCCACAAGGAAACGGATTCATCTGTGCTTGCCTTCAATGCACAAGGCAATGGCTTCCCTTCATGCTAGCACCCATAAAGTAGTGGCCTCCTGCATGCAAGCTTTAATTTGACAATGGTTATCTGCATGCAAGCTTCGATTGAGCAATGACCTCCTGCAGGTTTGTTTTGATACACAAGGCAATGACTTCTTTCATGCTAGCACCCATAAGACAGTGACGCCCTTTTGAAACAGCTTGCTTCGATTCCACCTTT